CGCAGCTGTTAGTTTAGCTTTGGTCAGGTTATTGTAGTTGGATCCATAGACCACTTTATTTAAATCACATGGATTCATTATGATACCGCTGCTGTACACTAGTTTCAAAATAATGTTCATTATCCTTTGAAACGTCGTTGGGGCTCCGGTCAGCCCAAATGGCATTCGCAGGAGTTCGAAATGACCTGTTCCAATGCTAAAAGCCGTTTTGCCCCTATCTTTCTGATCAACTAGTACCTGATGATACCCACTTGCCAAGTCTAGAGTCGTGAAATATCGACTACAACCAAGTAGATACAATATTTCGTCTATTTGCGGAATTAGAAATACTTGTTTACTTATTAAACCATTTCGAAGCCGTAATAAAGCGTAGGGTATGTTTAATTTTAATGCTAGACACCTCCGTAAGGTATAATTGCCTATAAAATTAATTTTGCTTCTAATAAGAGCTAGACAGCTACAGAATAATTGTTCAACTGTTTCTTCTTATTGATAATTCTCACAAATTTAATTCACAAATTCATAGTACTCATGAGAGCATATTCCTAGTCTGAGTGTGTGCCTTCAAAAATATTGTAATGTACGGCTATGCAAGCTATGACTTTTGTTATATCCTCTCTAGCGACATAAAATATTTTCACTGATTTTCTACTATCAAGTTTAAGTTATATTAGCCTAGACAATACCGTCTTTAGTATAGAAATTGTTGATATCTTGGAAGATACTATTGTTCAACAATAATTTCGAGGTACTATAGAAACTCTAATAACATTTTTGTCTATACCCATTTTAACAAGAATTGAACGCTTTGATAGGTACTTTAATATTGCTTTTGTCGTTGCCTAGGGAAAATACTATACTTCGTTCTGGTTGATTTGTAGGCTTTGCAGCTTCCTTTCACATTATTGTCTCCCAGAACTCTTATATGGTATATAATATATAGCTAGGTAAAATGCATATAGTCGATATCAGATATCATATCAAAAATAAAAAAAACTTTAATGAATTAAGGCATCTTCTAATAACATATTAATACAAATATTTTGTAGAAACATGAAATACATATTTATAGTTAAATGATATATCAAACTATTACACATGAACTTTTGAAACATCCCCCGTTTTAAAGAAGTATTATGCGCTTTAATATGAGAACATTTCAGATATGTTTGTAATGCACACACACACATTGTATCTATACAAATTTTGAATCTTCGATAATATGATTGTTCCTGTTAAATTTGAATTTTTGACTTCATTAAATTGATACCCTCACTGCGGTCTGATTTGACGTTGATTATATGAAGAAATAAAGTGGGGGTCTGGCTCAAAATATTCAAACATTCATATGAGGCTTCTTTTTACTTTGGATACTTTTTGTAATATTATTAAAATTTATTTGATTTATTAGTTTGTCGGCCTTTCAAGGTTAGTTCTTTGCATATATATATATTTTTTTTTTGAGATTCTGCTACATTAAGTGAAAATTTATTAGAGTTCAAGATTATATTTAAAAGAAATATATTCTACTTTAAATGTTACTAAATAACTGTTTAAACAGTTTAAAAAACAGTTAGAAATAAAAAAATAAGAAATAAAGCAAGAGTATCAAAGGAAGAAAAATGAATTGAAATGTTAAAATATTAGTAATAGAAATAGGCATAGTTATAGGCAAGTAATGGATAATAAAACAAAATTTAAGTCAAATGTTAGGCATCAATTTTTAGCTATCAAATGTCCCAATATCATTTGGAATGAAATACATGATTTAATTTTTAAAGTCAATCCCCTGTTCCTCAATAGAAATTGATGATATTGTTTCCAAATCGACTAAATCTACCTATGTAGTGCTTCCTGCACTTATTATAGGCGTATATGAACGGTTTATATCTTATATTGTATGCTTCTTATACTCTGTATATCTTTTATTCTATACTTATATCTTTCACTCTTTGCATGAAATATAAAATAAGACGAATCCCGGAAATAGGAGAGGTACTTATACAATAATTATAATAAACTGACTATTTTATTCCTAATGTAATGCTTTTAAGAAGAATAAAGCAAATTTCATCTGTGTATTTGCAATTGAATGAAGAAAGGGCATTGATATTTTTACAATTCTTTACACAATATAAAAAATAGATAATTAAAAAATAATTTAATTTGAAAATTTTAAATTTATAAACATAAATCTATCACAACTTTCGTGAATTTAAACTACCATGAAAAGATAATATTTTGACAACATTCATTATAAAATCTAACAAGCCAAATATTTTTGTTCTGTGCCGCTCATGTACTTAGAACTGAATCTTAGTATTACATATTAACTATTCTTCATACAGAGCAGAGCATAGAAAATAAAATAATTAATAAATATTTTAATTCTGTTAACATTTTTATTGTCTTATATCTTATATACAATATCTTAGCGTGTCAAAATTAATTGCTTGAGTGCATCGTCAGTTAACTTGAAAGTCATAAATTCAATAAAATTAAAAAAGTCCAAAAAAAAATTGCATTGGGGAGGTAAGTGAATTTATGAAAAAAAATTAAGGAAAAAATAAATTACATTAAAATATTTAAAAATAAAAATGAGGAAAGAAAATTGATATATAGGTAAAATCTACAATGCAAACACCTAATTCGCGATTTTTAAATTCGTCCCTCTTTCAGTCATAAAATAGACTTAAAGATAAATAATGGCGATATAAATCATGAAATATTTTGATAAAAAAAGTTAAAATAAAAATAATGGGCCTTAAACGACTATGTAATGCTTTATAATAGTTATTATAACACTATATTTTTGAAAGATAAGATATGTTGTAAATGAGGAGTTATGAACAGTTATTAGATTTAAAACAATTCAAATAAAGAGATATTTTTATAATAGAAACGAAACAAATTATATCACTACATTACACAATTCAATAGTTTAAATATATTATGTAAGGTTAGGCTGCCATTCTTGTGTCCAAAGCTCACTAAAGCACGAGTTGAGGATTCGGATTTTTAATATAACATGTTATTGTAGCGAAATATCTAAATATTCAGTGATTCTAATTTAAAACACTACGCATGATATATAACGAATATAATATTGGTATATAGCTTTGCTTTTCGAAAATTGTTTATTACAGAAATAAAATTGATAATGTTATAAATAAATTTTATATTATATTAAGCCATTTGTCCTGTTTAGACTAATTTTTATTAAAATGTCAATAATTTTAATTTTTAATAAATAATTAATTAACTAATAATATTTAATTTAATCGCTTCCATTTTTCAGGCAGAGCTCCATGCCTTAGAGCTATGTGCGAGAGAATGCCTACGTAAGGGCACCCAAAGTACCAAAATATGCATTCTTTCGGGCAGCTAAGCGGCTCTAAAATCTGTAGCAAACTCTTCATTATAATCAAAGTTGGTCTGGAAATGCTTTCAACTTCTCAATACCCTTGCATCGAGGAACTATGTAACTCTTATGTGGGTACCGGGAAATGAAGGACATGAGGGCAATAAAATAGCAGACTCCCTAGTAAGGAAGGGTGCATGTACTGATTAGTCGAGAGCAGGGTAACAAATAGCTTCACAAATAACTTATTATGTGAACGGGAGACACAACATTTGCTCGAACACTGGTGAGCCCAAACAGACATGCAACAGTCAAGAAGATTCATTGATCCTGAACATATCAAAGTTGATGCCATACTTGGCCTTAACAGAAACGATATTAAAATCTAAACTGAACTTCTTGAACAAAACTTCTGAACAAAACGTAGACTTGTTTATCTTGGAAGTGGGATCTTAGTCCCAAATCAAATAGGTAACATTAAGCCCACAGCAATTAAGAGATTTATAAATAGTCTAGAATTGTTTTAGTTGAGCCATTAGGCGCACAATAAATCTTTTAGGTAGGGATGGATTCATAGCCTATTATTCAATAATAATAATTAATTTAATAATTTAACTTTTTTTACAAAATTTTGACATAATTTGGATATTTATATCAGTATTTCTTTTGTTTTCACAACAATTTACAAATTCATCAAAACACAGCTGATTATAACAGCTGTCGTTAATAAATCGACACAATCAGGTGTGCCCACGAGTAAGCGTAACTTGTTACACTTTTACTCGGTTACCGAACTCGTGTTATGTATCGTAAAAGTATGTTATGTTTCGAGAATGCTAAAAAGTTAAGGTGTAGAGTGTATTATGTTATATATATAAAAACTATATCATACTCATTTTTTATGATAAAAGTAAGATAATTGAACTGAAATAGGTTTAAAAAAAGTGTTAAGAAAATTGACTGTACCCATGCATTAAGGTTTAAAGTTTTTATAACTTAGTTACTCTTATTTGTCAAAATGCTTAGCATTCAATAATTAATCACTTTAAATGTTAATGTAATTTAATCACGCTTTTTTGCTCCTAAATACTCAAAAGGCATAAAATTCACGAAATTCTGCAAATTCTGTTAAAGTAAGAAAAAAAAAAGTAACTCAAGAAAATTAAAACAAGAATAAAAGAGCAGTAGTCGCAGTTTTTGCAAACTTACTTACTCGTAAGCAAAAAACAGAAACACTACAAAAAAATGTTAAAATTTTTTGTGTAATAAACATTTAAGTTTCATTAAAAATATAAAACCGAATGCGTTAAGGTACTGAGGTAATAAAACCCAATTTTAATTGTTCACGTCTGAAATCGTACTTGACTTAGGGAAATGAAACTTCATGTAGGTAGCAGCAGATAGTTTATGTTACTGAATGCCAATTAGGTGCGCTATGAGGCATGGAATTATGATACGAGACATGTAAGTTTCCTTATTCTGTTCACATTACAAATATATGAATATTACTATTTTTACTATTTAAAGTTAAAACTAAGTACAACAAAACAGTTTTAAGTCTATACAAATGATACGCGTACTAAGTGTTTTAAAAGAAAATTATATATACATTATGCCACATTGTATAATTACTACTCACCGCATAATTTTTCGCTTATTATTAGGATGAAATCGATTAGCCGCTTCTGGATCAATTGTTTGTAGATGTTTGTGCAGTAGTTCCGAAGTCGTTGCCGACATTTCGTCATCAGTTAAATATTTTATCTGTTAAAAAAATAATAAAAATACTTAGTAAGGTCAAAAAAAAAAAAATAAAAAAAAATGTATCTCCTTTTAAGGAACTATAACTACTACGACAACATAACTCGAATAGTTGAAAGTAAAACCAACTGAAGTTTAACAAAAATACTTACATTTTTCAAATTCTCAGACATTGTGGCATCACTTGTTGAAGATGTTGCCAAACACTTCCCGTCTGCTATTGTTGTTGTTGCTGCTGCTGCAGCTTTTGTATCCACTAAAATGTCCCATAGCAACGATTCGATATAGTAATTGGTGCCACCAACTACAATGGGACATTTTGAATGTGCCAAAAGATTTTCTATCTAAATTTATTGTTAAATTTTAATGAATTGAGTTAAGGATGTTTCAAATTTGAGTCACGCATTTCGTACGATTTCCTGTGATTAACGTTTGGTTCATATTAAATTAGCTATATTAGTTGTACGGCGCTTATGGATTTTGCGTATGCTTATTACATATATTTTCATCAATGAAGTTATTTGTAATGAAAACGAAATTAATATAATTTTTATATAATACATATATATACATATAACATGCTGTACTCATTCATATGTTAAACACGTCCCACCGCATAACTTATAAATTTCATGTAAAACATAAGTGACTTTGTATGATATGCATTATGCTTAAAATTAGGTAGGAGATATATGAAATAATTAAATTATGTCCATTGAATTCAAAAACAATTCAAAAAATTAAATATGTATATATTTACATACATATACACCAAAAACTTACTAATAAACTCAGTCGTATAAATGTTAAAATAATTATGTTTAATTTATGAGTACGACAGTTCAAAGAACGATATTAAGTAGTTATTTTATTACTATGACAGTAAGAATTTAAAGACAAAATTTGAAGCAAACTAACAAAACTCCAGAAAAATGTACGAATATAAAAGTCAAGTACGGCTTTGAGTCAGTTAGTTAAGGTGCGCTGCCTCTAAGTTTCGAATTGGGCAGGATCCGAGTTTGATTCCTGGTACTTGCAGTCTAAACAAAAAAAATTATTTACGCATAATTAAATACAAGAAATATTTCCAAGACCACTAATGATGGGTATTTGGCAATACTCGAAATAGCTGTATGGGCAGCCAAAAATTCAATTAATTAATATAAAATGAATTTTTGTTGTTGTATATATATAAAAATGTTTCAAGAAATAAATTGTTCGACTACAAAACTTAAAGAATTATTTGATATAATATGGTATAAAAAATAAAAAAAATATATTACTTAACTTAGAGAAAATTATAAAGTTAACACATTTAAATAATTACTTAATATCTAATGTTTTATATTGTATATATTATACATAATATATATTATATATATATTATTATATTATATTATTTAGAGGGGTTTTGAATAGCAAAGAAAGAAATAAATTATATTATATAAAATATATATATAATTATATAAAATAATTATATTATATTTATATTATATATTTCATTAGCAATTTAAAGTCTTATTTCTATTTCGTGGCCCTGATAGGTATAACAACACTGTTTCAAAAATATATATGTTATACATAAATGGTATACAGGACATCATATGTTTAGTTTCAGCTTTGCCTTTTTACAAAATGGATTGCTTAACAAACGCTGAACATGTTCAAATTGTTATAACTTACTACAGACTAGATTAGGTTATACCGGTGATCGCTAGTGGATCTACTTAAGCCTATTGGGTCATTGTGTTATCGTATATATAGGAAGGAACTCAGGGTTTAAAACCACCTAGAAGCTTTGGTGAAGTCTAAAATGCTATTTAATATCACGTCCTGTAATTTGTCAAGATCCTCAAGACAGTGGGCTCTACTGTTATCAAGTGTGATAACTTCTACTCGCACTTATTTCAAAAATGGCAAAGTATGATACAAACTGTCAATTTCGATTGCTATATACATATGATTAAAATTAAAAGTATTAAAATTCAATAATATTAAAAATAAAAATATTAAAACTATGAATATAGAAAATAAAAGATCTGGACAAGATACACAACACGTCCTATTTTTGCTTTACTGCAACAGATATTTTGATAACATGTAACATCATGTTTTGGTGATGTGGTGGATACTAAAATCGTGTGATTTGTAAACACGGATTTTTTTTGTATAAAGTAAAGGAAGGGCTTAAGTTAATGCAAGCAATTCTTAAACTTTTTAAGACGCTTTAAAACAGCTTGACAAGCCACTTATGAGCAAGCTAAGTGGCTAAGTTGCCAGATATATGTCGATAACCCATGAGAAATTATCTCAAAACTATCCAAGACTGTAAGATGACCCGTGGAGGATATTTAGCTTGTGTTGTAGTTTCAACAAGAGTAATTAATTTATTTGTGCTTATTTTTCAAATCAAAAATAGTAGTATTTTTTCCACATAGTTGTGGATTTTCTGTAAACTAAGCCGACACAGTTTTGCAAACGAATGCTTAGGGTAATTGTGGGCGTCATATACGTATATCTACGTATCTTTCTATCTATTTCCATTACTTTCTAAAATAAAAGATAAATCAAAAATAGGGCTCTAAATAATGTTGTGTAACATTTACTACTTGACATATGTTGTACATTTTGAAAGCTTTTCATGCATAAGCGGTAGTATTGTAAGAACCATTTATTATACTCCTCGATAATTATGGAATCATTATAGCATTGAATAATTTTTCAAAAAAACTTAAGAGATATTAAATAAAAGATTAGTTAAGAAAATTTTTCACTATAATATTTTTACAACAGTTTTCTTCAAAATTATAGGGTTCTTAATTTGGCAACATCACAAAAACAATATATTTACCACCAATTAACATGATACTGTCAAAAGTTGCTGCCAGTGCACTTCTGATGACAGCAGCGGACTATTCTATGTTCCACTTAAGTCCCACTGAAGATCCTTATGCATTTTCAGCTTTAGCTGTTAGTTTTTGCGTGGGTTTAATAAGTGTTTTAAAAGGTGTATACGATGACGATGAGACCAGTCAAGCACAAGATAACGATTACAATACTGAAGATTTTTGGAGGTTTGCGGTAAATGTATTGGAAATGGCACAGTTACCATTAATAAATGTTCATATGTACCTACAATCTCAGCGCTGTCATAGTTTGGCACGTACTCATGGTATTTTTATAATACCGCTTTCGATTGAAGTGCTGTTGCGTTATTTCAGCGACTTGAAATATGATGTTTCCTTTAAGAACCTGACAATCTTGGGAAATGTTTTCTCATTATTGTTTTTGGCCATCAATGAAAATAACAAAATTTGTTTTGTCCTTGCAAGCGTATCCAGCTTTACATATGTAATTGCTTCCTTTATGGGTGAACATTTCAGAAATTCGAGAGATATTGTGAAGTTAATTGGTCACTCCGCTTTTGTACTGACTATTGCATTTACTGTGAAGGATGCAGCAATAGCATTTAAGAAGGCTTAGCAGTTGTATTCGGACATTATGTACATATTTGCAAATTCTAAACAACAATAAACCATGTAATAGTAGATATAAGTACATATTTGCAAATTCTAAACAATAAACCATGTAATAGTAGGTATAAGTAATTTGTTTTTTGTGGATTATGAGGTAATTATTGAATATCACCAAAGTTCTTCAGATCGAAGAATTTTTAAAGCATCTTGTAATATAGAAGTAATATAGAATAAATGTGGGATGTAAGAAGCAAAAACGTGTGCCATAATGGAGGAATGATGTGAATATATAGGCTAGCCATCTTAACTGTCAACCTCACCTACCCGTGGCGCATCTTGTTTTTCACATACGATGCTCTGGCAACCGAGTGCAGACGGTAAAATCTAAAAACATATAGTTAAGCGGAAATTCTACTACTAAACACCAATCCTTTCTTCAGGTGGGAAAATAAGGAGATCTGGCCCTCCAGGTTGGGGTTGATCGCAAGGCCAGCAAACTTGCATCGGAAAAATTTTACCACAACGCAACCCTCTTAGGAAGGTCAGGGTTCACACTGAACTGTAGTGCCATATAAGAAAAATATGGAATAAATGTCTTAAGAACGCTTCTATATTTGAGATATGTTATGTAAAGAGTCACCTTCATGTCAAATTTTAAATTGTTGAGAGAAGTATGAGAGAAAGAGAGCAATTTCTATTTTGGGCCTTGATCAAATTAGTATTGCTTAGTAAAAAATGTCAGAGTTTGCATCTATTAGGAGTAAAACTGAGTATTTTAGTAAGGATATGTAAGCATATCCACACAAAAAACCTATCAAAATAGAAGTAAGAAATCGATAAATCTAATGTGATTCTCTATATAATATACTTTTTAATCGTGTCCATAAAAAACCCAAGATTGCTGTGACGTTTTGTGATGTGACTGTGTACATAATATAGGGCCATGTTATGCAGAGTGTCTCGGGCACGGCAAATTACGCTCTTTCGGGCTATGCCGAAAATGCATGTTATGCAGAGTGTCACATCAGTATTGCCAATTTTGTGTTTTTACTACTTCTTGGTTGTGCCTAAATTTAAAAGGAAATTTAGATATGCTCACTTTCAATTTACCACCAAAAATAACTCGCATAAAAAAACTCATAGAGACTGTATGTTAATTTATTATTATATTATCTTATAATAATTGTTAACAGTACTTACGCGTTTATTTAAAATCGGAAAGTGTAATAATTATATTATTAGCGATTTGTAAAAAAAATGCTGTGTTGCTTACTGCCATTTTTTCTCCAAAACGTACTAGAATTGTAGTAGTTTGCTCCTAAAAGGCACAAATTTTGAAATTTATTACTAAACAACACTGTTTTGCCTTAGTGCCGGGGCACAAATACGCCGGCTCTCATGCCGGAGTTCGAACGGCCATATTGTTTTTTCTCTCACTCTCAAATTTAAAATTTGCATTGAAAACAAAAACAATTGTACTCATGCCGTGCCCGAGACACTCTGCATAACATGGCCCATAGTGATTACTTAAATATTCAATTTAATATTTTGTGATTTTCAATAAAATCAAGTTATCATTGATAATATAAAAAAATGACATAGTAAAACAAATTTTTGTAACAATCATATTTTTTCCAAACTCGTAACAGTACACATCAAAATTACTCCTTTAAGTCCGGTAAATACCAAAAATAATCAAAAGGTATAATTAGTTTATTGAAATTTTTTAAATCATATAAAAAGTTTGTAATAATTTTTCTTTAAGTAACTACTAAAATGGCACTTAACGCAGTACTTAGCGTTGTTTTGACTGGGGCTTCAGGTTATGGTTTGTACGCAATTAAACCAGACAAGGAACCATATGCTTTTACCGCTTGTGTTATTACCTTCTGTCATGGTTTGGTATCTTTCGCAAAGAATGTTTTAGATGGCGATGCAGGTGAGACAGCTAAGAGTGCTGGGAATGTCACTACACCCACTATGCAAATAGTTCCGGTACCATTGATTGATATCGAATTGTTTCTTCCTTCGGAACCAACCAACAATTTGGGTTGGGGTCACTTCTCCTATGTTATACCATTGGCTTTAACTGCTCTTTATCAGAAGTGGAAGGACGAAGCAGACGATGAAAATAAGGATATTCAAAACTTGTGGGATCTAACTGTCTACGGTGGTATATTATCTCTAATCTATTATTCTGTGCAGGAGAACAATAACATCACTTTGGCTTTAAGTTTAATTGCTTGGGGTACTTATGTATTGCCAAAACAAATAGAAGATGAACTTGTTGAAGAATCTATGGAAACCTCTACTCTGGTAGGCCAAAGTACTATTGCAGCCTTCATGCCATTTGTTTTTGGACAAAGCTAAACGCAGACACTTTGTTAATGTGTTTTTTTTCTTTGGTATTTTCGGCAAATTATTTCAAAATCATGATAACATATTGAAAACGAGTTGTTATATTTTGTGTTGAATTGTTAATAGATTGCAGAAATAAATACAATCTTATATATTTGGAATAATTTAAAGAAAAGCTATTTTTTACGAAAATTCATTATAATTATTAATATTATAATTATAATGGTATGTTAATATAAAAAAAATTGAGGCATTATAGTTTTGAATCTTTTAACAATATATTCCAATATTTTAATCTAAATACTATGATAATCTATTTTAACAATATCTGATTTAGAATTCCCGATTTATAAAACTTTCTATCACAACAAACTTAATACTTGTGACATTTCAAAATTTTTTGAACTAACTTATATGGCAATGATTTTTTTTATAAACAATTTTCTAAATTAATATTTTTTTACTAACATTTTTAATATTGAAATGGACTCAGATAATAGCGAAAAATACGATAGTGTTTGGTTAATTTTAACATCTGTGTATGCTTTGTATCGCATACCAATTGAGGAACCTTTCGCATTCTCAGCTCATTTACTAGGACTTTGGCATGGAATAATAAGTTTTTATAAGCATTCATTGTATGGCACAAGACACTTAATGCCGAACTCCGAAGAGCGTATTGCACGGGTCGAAGAAGCTAATACTCGTTCAGTATATCTAATGCAATTTGCATATATACCATTGATTAATATTGAATTATATATGGGTTCAGGTGAATGCAATTGGATAGGCTTATCACATTGTATTTATTCATTTCCACTTATAGTCACTGAAATGCAATTCTTACTTTTACCGGAGGAGGAGAAAACTGAAGATAAAAGAGCCAATATTATTAAGTTGTGGGATTTGACTTATTACGGTTATCTAGCTTCTTTACTATATTATTCGTATTCCAGGGAAAGTATATTGGGCTTTTTGCTTATTGCTGCTGCTTCTATAACATATTACGGTCCTAGACATTTGATTCCAGAAGAAGAAACTAGCGAATTATTGGGTGAATCGGCATTTGCATTATTAAGCGCTTTTCTTTTTGGAAATTAAACTTTTTCGAATATAGTACCACTATTTTAAGACTGAACTCTAACAATAAAAACCAAACTAATATATTTTTAAAAATAATCTAATGTAACTGCATTTTATATAACAGTCTTATATAATTTCATCATATTTTTTTTATGTCCCTATTTTCTATATAATCTGTTTTCGAATAGAAAAGATAGAAGTTAGGAAATATTAGATCCTAAAAAAATTTCTTTTTATAAAAAAGTGTATTATTCATCTGACTTTTCGGATACTACTTAATATCTACCAATGGAAATATTTAAATTTGATTTCTGAATATAATGTAAGTGCTAGACTTACATATTTAAAACGCAGACTCACATATTAAGATGCTTAAGAGTCGTTGCACATAAATTGCTTTGTTCAAATATGTTTTTTATACACATATTATATATATCATTTTATATATATGAATACGTATACGGCTATAAAGAAATTTTAAAATTCAATGGCAATTTGGAAATGTCACTTTCTTTACATATATAATATATTTTAATATTAGCTTGTGACTCAAAAATTGCCGACAAGCACATATGCTCAATAAGCGCAACAAACGACTCAATAAAATTGCAATTAATGCTAAAAAATTATCATTAATTATTTTTTTTGTTTCAGAAATTAAAATATTTTAAAAAAATTTGTAAACTAAATTTTTTGTGAGTCCACAAACAAATGATCAGTTCATGTTTAAGCCAAGCTTACAAAAAAAATACGCAAACATTTAAAAAATTATTTTAAGCTTAAGTTAAAGTGGCTGAGAAGATCTGCTATCCTTAAGTATATTATAGTAACTTGTCGGTAATATATTAAAATTTTTAAAAGGGTGTTGCAACAAATGAACTTAATGATGATATGTATCTGACACTTCACATTTTAAAAAAATAAAATAAAAAAAAGGAAAATATTTGCTTAAATTTTTTTTTAAATATAGTCAACACATGACAGCTAAGTTCAATGTCTTTACATTCAAGAGTATGGTTTGATTTTTAAAAAAATATTTTAGTCTGCCTAAATTATATACAGAATTTCTCTAAAATATTCAAAGACTTATTAAGGCTCAAGTAATTAAGATACAAGAATTATCTTGTTGCTTCATGACTCTAATAAGTTTTTCTCATTCTTGGAGACCCATATGCGGTTCTGTCAGTAATTTAGAAAACTAAGGGGAGAGTCTAAGAACAATTGGTCCTTCATCTCAAAGCTATACATAAACAAAGACCCAGTATTACTCACTGGGATAAATGAGGTAATTATGTTTTTGATTTTATAAGTGAGTGGTGTCAGTTTAGATTGTGATTAGTAACTCTTCTTATGTTATCAATTTCTCTGACAAACTTAATAATAAATCAACATTAAAATATTGTTTAAAAAAAGACAATATTCCGCATCATATATAAACATTAAAAACGAAATTTTGTTAAAGAAAAAAAAATATGTTTAAGTAAAAAAAAAGTATATGCTTTGCATTGCGTATCTTCGTCTCCTTTTTTTGCTTAACACGCGCAAACCTTGTGCAAGTTCAAACACCCATGAGTCAACTTTAAATTAAATGAAATATAAAAAACAACAAAAACCGAAACCAATGTGCATTGCATCAGTCAGTCGGTTAAAAATGCCGGCCGGTCCGTCCTGGCTTGGCTTGGCTTGGCTCTCCGGCATGGCTTGACTTTAGCAAAAGCTTTGTTGACGGAAGAAACCAATTGAATACGAGACAGAAATGTAAGCAAGCAAGCTGTGGGGTTTAAATGCTTCTCAGATAAATATTTTGTACAAATAAGTTATTTATTTATTTACATAAAAAATCACATCCACAACAACAATAACAGCAACAACAACAAAAGCTAAAAAATATGTAAACATTAAAAAATCACTGCAATGATTTAACAAAACTGACAATATATTGTATATATAATACAAGCCACACATATATTTTTTTATTGACCGATAAAAAAACCTTCAAAATATTGAAGTATTGCATAAAAAATAAATTTTTTTTTCATTTAATTTCGTTTTTTAACACTTGAAATACATTTCGTCAATGAATAAATTAAACATTTTGTTAATGGAAATATTTTAATTTATTATAGATTTTTTGATCGTTACTTTTGAATCTATAAGCATACAATCGTATTGATTAATTGCAAACATTTTATTGAAGATGAGAGCTTTATATTAAATAGTTTTCTGATATATTAACTAAAAAAAAATTTTAAAAATAAATATAAAATTTCAAAAAGTCAACAGTTCTAAAACTATAGACAGACCCACTACAATAATTGTTATGTTAAGACTCTACCTATGTTGCTACTATGAATTATTTCGTAAGACTAGAACAATAGAATAACAATACTGGGTGTACTATGCTTAGTACTCTTAGAATAACAATACTCTGGCTCTACTACTCTTAGTACACCCAGTATTGTTATTCTATTATTTTAGTCATATGAAATAATTAATTGTGACAACACACTGTTTCACAGAAGCAATTGGAAAAATTTTTACTCTAGTACTAGAAAGAATTTTTAAAATTAGATCCTTTAAGCCTTAGATCCTTAAATTAGACTTCAACTCAAATCACACACCAAAATAAGTTATAATTTTCTAAAAGAATGTTTAAAAAGTAAATAGATTGCTGGAACTCATTAAGACATCTACGTATCATTGTGTTCTATCTTGTATTTATTCTATCTATCTTTTATCAATATATTCATTAACAGAGAAAGATTGTTGCATGATTCCTTTAAAGAACTGAGATCTTACACAAGTTTCGAAGGAGTACCTGAGGCACTCCACTGAAAAGCTTGCTATATACTTTTGTCCAAAAACCTCAGAGGAGAAAAATGTTAAACCCACACCTTCAGAGATGCGTAGTAGTTTAAAACCGTCCTAAATGTAAATTGAACTGAACTCAAAAAGCTGTAAAACAGTTTGACTGACAATATGTACAGATTCTTATTATTAAGTATATTATCCACTTTAAGACAAGCTATATTCTTATTATGTTTAGGCTAGTTGAGTCTCTATTAACTGTGAGGTTTTTTCATAACCCCTCTCTACGCATTGACTGGATTATTGTTTATTACTTCATCAGACTAAGCAGTAATTAACCTTAGATTTGCATACCTTTCCGAGGAGCCTGTAACCATTCTGAGATTCAATAATGCGGTGTTGGTAAGACTGTCAGTTTTCGTAAATAATTTCGGGGCTCTATCCTTTATGTATTTTTTGATCGGATTAATCTTGAGGTCCCTTAATTTATAAATAAGTAATTAGAATTTTTAATTTTAAGTTATTAAATAATTAAGTAAGTAATTAGAATTGTTAATTTTAATTTTAAGTTCATTAAAGAATTGAATTTTTAAGGTTCAAGTAACTAAATACGAAAATTATTTCATTAAGGTAAATAAAATATCCTTTCATTTAAGTCAAATTTATATTGTATATATATGCGACTACATATCATAATTTAAACATACTCGTACTCAAATATGCAAATTCAATTTTTATTATTTATTGCTTCTTAATACTTTTACGAATGAATGTATCTACATTCACATAAATCTTATCTTTTTGCTGATTGTTTGAAACTGTCAATCAGTTTTTATTCATTTCTTTGCAATGGATTTGATGGTAAGACGAGTGGTTTTGGTATGGAAAAGCAATCCTTTGTAATGCATTAAACTGTTTGTCAATCATAATGTTTCCGCTGTCACTTATAGACACTTCGGTGCTTGCACAAAATTTTAAAAAGTTTTAAATATTGATTTATCTGCTGATTAAATATTTATTCATTAGATATATTTGTATAAGTCTGCAAAAGTTTGCAAAATGCAAACCAATATGTCTTAATTTTTTAATATAAACTTAACATGGTTTGTATGCGTAATTGAAGAAATAATAAAAGTACAATGAACTCGTGTTTTATATAGAAAAACTATATAGTTTATGTCTAGCACACCAACATCTCAACAGCACTTAATCTCTAACAACTAAACCACAAGATACAAAATTTTGTAACGCCTACTACAATTTGGTCGTCGTATGATAACCCAAACATTTTATTATTAACCAAAAATTATTTTTACGTCCCAAAATGTTACAGAAAAATTTTTGCGCTATTAAAAAAAATATTTTTTTTTTCTGTTTTAAATAAAAATTTATATAAACTTTTAATATAAATTGAATAGAACTTTGATTTCATAATATTTTTATAAATATTTATATAGTACTAAATAATTTTATGCAGTTATTGGCGCCAAAAGAAAATAGGACAGCGATAAAAATTCGGAAAATATTTCAAACAATTTTTAAGAAATTTAAAAAATACATTTTCGATTTCCTTTTTATTTGAAGAAGTCAACAAAACTTATCAAAACTTGGCTTTTTGTTAAAACAAATGGAGAAACTATATAAGTTGAAAATTATTTAAAGCAAATATAAGTTATCTTGGCGTCCAGAATATATAGGTTCTAAGGAAGATACTTCTTTGATAGTATATCAGACTATTCGTCGGTGCAGACCAAAGACCTATTAATCTATCTAAGTTCGGCGGGACGGATTTAGTTTTTACTCTTCTATAGTAGCGTTCTTGCGAGGAATGTGGTTGCAAAACGGCGGAAAAATCGCTAATTGAGGTACATGAAAGTTATCTAAAAGCCTGCCACTGCAACCAACCAACGAAAAGTTATCTTTCAACTGAGATGTAATGAATCAAATTTGCAATAATGACAACTTTAATGTCAATAATTTTATTTATATCAAAATGTATATATAAAATATAAGACACATTTTGCAATGATTTTTTTTATATAGGTATATATATTCATACACAAATAATCTTAAGAACGGCGAAGGAACTAGTAGTCCAGTTCCTTATTCTTAAACTGTAAAATTAATATATATTTTAGTGTTAACTCATAAATAAATAATAATAAATAAATATATAATTATTAATAAATGAATTATTATAAATATATGAATTATAATAAATAAATAAATAATAATAAATAAATTAATAATAATAAATAAATAATTAATAACAAATAAATACATATTAATTAAAAAATAATAATAAATAAATAATTAATAATAAATAAATAAATAATAATAAATAAATAATAATAAATAAATAATAAAAAAAAAAACAAATAATAATAGATAAATAAATAATAATAAATAAATAAATAATAATAAACAAATATATAATAATAACAATAGTACAAAGAAAAGGATTTTAAACGATAGGTAGATTATTAAATTTCTCCAATTTTTATTTAATCACCAAACTCTTCGCCTATTCATGTCCATTCTGTTCTAAACTTCAATTAAGTTCTTTTTCACAAATTTTTTGTTTGGAAGATCTTCCCTGAAGATGACTATCGGAGATAATCGAAATATCGGAAAATATCTTAATGAAACAATTTATTTTAAATATAAATAATAAATAACAGTTTTTTTTATTTATATTTAAATGACCAATTAGCTAGCTCACAAATTATTATAACTTTAAGACAGTGCTATTTCAAGCATATAAAATAAGCATTAATTTAATATATCATTTCATAAGACGTGACATGTGTCTGCGGATATGACACATAAAGAAGTCAATCATTTTCGAAATAATTTCTGAGACTTTTTGACACTGCCTACTGATATTTTAAGACATAAAGTAATTAATTTTTCTTTAAATAAGAATATTAAATATTTTTTTTGTCACAAAAAAATTTCCAAGATATTCTCAAGTGTTTGTCAAATAAATTGGAAAGTCAGGATCTTTATCAACACAATTCATCGCTAAAAATAATCATTTCATATAAAATATAAGGTTAAATGTAAGTATTTAAAATAATTATAATGTAAATTGCCCTATTATTTAATAATACGTTTATAAAAGAAACGTTTACCATTAACCCTCAAGAAACAATGGGTATCTAAAAACACTTAGCATACTTTGATATAAAAAGGATACAATTGGCAAGGCTGCATTGCGGAAATGCGTTACGGTGTACGGCTCTGCTGGTGTGGCCACATCTAATAAGTGATGTTTAGCACGTGATTGTTCCTCTTTAGTAGCTTTAGCAGTTGCAATATCCAAATTAGCATATACCTACAGAGAAAGAAATGTTGTTAGAAAACTTAGTTTAACAAATAAATTCTAGTAGGCTGTTAGAAAAATAATTATTAAGAAAACTGCAATAAAAATTTATTGTTTCCGGTTCTTACTTTCAGGTGTGAAAAGTTATTCATGTGCAATCTGTAAAAAACTGCACACTCAGTAAGGCGCAGCTAAATAAAGAAAACCTTCAAATATTTATTAGTAATGTAAACTTTAACAGTGACTAGTTAAAGCAATTTTTATTTACCATGTATATACTCGTATAATATATGGAATAACGAATGCTAAAACCAATTAAAACTCTATAGAATCATATCCATATACACCTAAAAATTTGTCATTTCATATATTTATGATTTCATTAGGTTATAAATTTTCTAATATAATTAGTTAAATTTCTTATTCAGCAAACCAGGAAATACAATAAAAATATTTAAACTAGTTTAATCAATAGAATTAGGAACATTTCATACACGCAATTTATTAGAAATGGAATTAGCAAATTTTTGTGAAACTAATTTGCATAAATTATTTCGCAACAAAAAAATAAATATCTCGTCAAACATTAATTATAAATTCATAAACATTTCGTGTGCCCATAAAGTTATAATACAACATATTTATATAATACTTCTACAGTAGAAACTCTTATAGTAGAAAATCTCTTAAGCGAATATTCTGCCAAGTTTTATCCATTCAACAGGGATGACAGACAAAACTTGTTTAATTACCCCAAATAATTATAAAATGAAGAGTTTTTGAAAATGTACCCAAAATTGTACATATAAAAAGGGTATCGATTAGTTAAGTATAGTATAAATAAGAAATAAATATTATTTAAGGAATATCATAGGCATAGTATTAGTATAAAATCATTTGCTTGCATTTTTGCATATAAACAAACCTATACTGCCCATAAATATTTATTAATTGCAATATAATATTATAAATATATTATAATTAGAAATAGCTTATGTTTATGGCCTGCGTTATCACAAATATACTTAAAATGTTTGGGGGCTTTACAAGCAGGAAGACGTCTCAAATATGGAATTCGAGAACGCAAAAAATATGGACATTCTTTATAACGTTTACTTTAATGTAGCAGTTTATTATTACTGTTATAGAAGACATCTCATCCTTATAATCACAAAACCGTCTATATTCTTCATGATACTTACTTCAAAGATGGAGATCTTTTTGTATCTAGTATCAGTAAAGATTAATTGGTTAATGTAGGGCTTGCATCCAGTACATTTAACTTTACTTATAGTATTATGATCGCTTTTAAACATTTTAACTCAGTATTTTTGGCAATATTTTATGGGAGAAATACGTAGTATAATGAATCGGTTTCTATCTTTTGTCAAAATTCAAAACAAATAAAGGTGTAAATATATAAGGTAGGAAATCTGCTCAATTATGTTACGTTTATTTTAACAAGTCTAATATATCCTTTTTAAAGAATATGTACGTATGTCATAACAATTATATAGCACTATCAACGAAAATGAAAGAATCACAGCAATTACATAAAATAAAAAAATGTAATCTAAAATTATATTATTTTTAGGAAAGTGAAAATCAATGGTGATCAAATCAGTAGTACATACTTTTTAAACGTCATAAAATAGATATATGTATGTATTTGTCCTGATTGGCATACTAAAATTAATATTAATGTTCAGTGTTATTTGAAAATGTACCATGGAAGAAAAAAAATATAATTGAATAGCAATTTATGAATTTAAAAATACAAAAATAAGTTATATTGTGCACTATTTTTACTAGTTTTCAATTTTGTTTATGTCAATGTACCTACCATAATCCTGTCACGCAAACGCACTTGTTGCTTGCTTATTGACAATGTATAATAGGATCGGAATTTTTGCTGAAGTGGCAATGCCAAAATATCGATTTGAATAAAATAATTTTAGACACCCTAAAACATAAACAAAAAAATAAACATATATATGTGTTAAGATTCTTGCTGACCATCACGGTTTTAAACTCATATATTGTTTTCTTATAGTTAAAATCAATTCGCTTTAAATAGTGCATATAAAAAAATATGACAAAACAAAGTTGCAGCAAAGCTGAGCTAATAAACTTTTGTACTGGGAAGTCTGAGAAGATCCGCAAACATTTGCGCTTTGTGGTTTTTATTTTGCATATGGCATTGTCCTTACAATGCCTGATTTGTAAAAATAATTAACAAACGAAGGCAAAGGAAAGTAAAACAAAAAAATGATTGCCAGTCTTTATATGACATCAATAAAAAGATGGCGGTTAACGTGAGTTGTTGCAATGGAATTAGTAATTAAAAGCAGAAAAACATTTAAATATTTATATCTTTATAAATTTTTTATTCTCTGCAAAAGTGATTATAATTTAAGTGTGGTATATATAAAATTATTAGTTGTTTTAAATAATTGAGACTTTGTAAAAAGTATTTTACAGTGATATTACAAAAATGGCGTACCTTTGTCAAATTCGCCACAATTATCAATTGCAGCGAGTTGAGAATAAAATATTCGTTAAGATTTTGTTCAATTTATTCAAATTCTGTTAGAAAATATAAAAACAAAAGTAATTTGGTGTTCAATAATATTTTCTAAAATATAAACTACATTGTACGTTATTTTTTTTGAACATGAAATTCAAAATTACAAACGGCAGTGATAAGTGTAACTGTAAATGACACAGAATCACTCAAATTTTTTGCATATATTAAAATTTGACGTGGGTATATAGGGTAAGTCAATAAAAAAATTATTTAAATATATACAACTACATTTACAACTACATTTAAATTATCACAAAAATATAGTTTTATGTTTAAAGACATATTACAAAAATATAGTTTAATATTGTAAGATATGTCAATTCTTTATATTCATTTATTTGAAAGTTATAACGTTTTTATATTTTTTGCATATTATTTCATGTGAAAAATAATAAAATATAAAGTTTTGAAAAAGTTTTAAACTTTTTATCGAAAGAAGTGACTTACATTCATAAATGAGAGTTGCTGGATGAGATATATGTAGAAGCAAAAAGTTCTAGTAGATATTACTGCAAGCTAAGGACTAGTATTGTTTCTATAGGATTATCCGGTTCTATTCTTAAAGTAATATAGTCATATTCTTTCAACTAATCATTAAGATCAATTAATTAATTAGCCTAAATATATATACATAAACTTTTAAAATCAAACCTTTAATTTATTGTAACTTTCGTGAACTTCATTTAAAGACAAAAAGTTCATATACAAACTAAAGAAACTACTAGACAGCAGCAGAAATTTCTAATGAAATAAAATTAGCATCAAAAATTGAATACTGAGATGGTCAAAAAGATACCGGATAGCACCTGTTAACGATGTCATACCTGTTACCTCAAATCAACCATAGAAACAATGACTAAAATGCAGAGAAATACATATGTAAATATATGTAAATATTTTATTGATAGAGAAATTAGCATAAATGCCAGAAATTAACCTGAAACTAAATCGAAAGCACGGAAACTTGTTCAACTTGTTTGGAAAAAAAGTTTATACTGATCTTTTGTTCGGATTTCGCTGATTAACAATTTAAATAATTATAATAAAATTACAAACTTGATACATTTTATTAAATGAATCGTATTTCGCGTAAATTCGAGCATTTCTAACTTTATTTCACTAAAAATTTTGGTTTATATGCGCACTTTAGACGAGCCTTTTTTATAGCGTTAAATAGAAACAAGCAATAAAGTTTCTATATAACAAACATAATAATATTAAATATTATTTAATAGTTTTATTTATCATTAGTTGATTTTTGTTGAGTTTTATAAAAACTAATGTTTATGTTTGAAACGTATATTTGACTTGTTATTTGTTTCTGTAGTTTGTTTTGTAGTTTGTTGTTTTCATATTTAAAATATTATTCAAATAATTTTTAATACTGCGTAATTTAATATTAAAAAGTTGTTATTAATTATTTAATTGGTTATTATTTAAAATGACTGATTTTTTCGTTTTTCACCTGCATTGAATCTGCACTTATAATTTCACCACAGTATCGTTCTGCCAATTCAATTGACAATTTTGTCTTTCCCGTACCGGTGGAGCCTAATATCACAATCATAGGCAATTTCCGAAACATTTTGAACATAAAATAATAAAACCAATTATCTACTTGAATTAATATATCACTTTACACTTAATTTTATATATTAATTGTATTATTTTACAACAATTAAACCGGCATGTTGAAATAAAACACGTGAATTCTATAAAGTACGTGAGCAAAACTGCTGTTAAAGAGACAAATAGGAAAAACATATGCGAATTTTAGGGTGACCATATGTTTTGAGAATATTAGTGTTTAAAAACTGTTATTTATCGCAGGAATATGTTTGTGTACAGAGTTTTTTTGTTATAACTTATTAATAAAATTAAAATAATTGTATTTTAAATTTTATTTATATTACATTTTAACTAAACTTTTTTGTTGATAAAACAGAAAATTTTGAATAAATTTTTGTAAAAGAAAACTATGAAAGCAGATGGTCAGTCCACAATATATTTATCAGCTGTAATTGTTTTGCTTTTGCAAAGAACGTAAACAAAATCAGTTTAACTGAAAATATTTAAAAATGATTAATAAGATATAAGAAATAATACATTTAATGAAATTGTTTAAAGTTGTATGCAGTGTTATTTTACATATATTTGTGAAAGTGTATTTTGAGAGCGTATTTAAATTCATATGCACCATACAATTTTTGATTGCTTTAAATGCGTTAAAACTCGTAATTTTTTTTTTATTCAACAATATGTTTTGTCTTCATTCAGTCGGTTTAAATGAAAGCCTAAAAATAAGTTCTAGAATCTTAAAAACTAATAACATTACGTTACAAATTATTTTATATATAATGAAATATATATTTCATATATATTTCAATATATTTACTAGATATTCCGGCGTATAAGTTGAATTAATCAGGGAGATCTTTAAGAAAACAGGATGGCGGGTCTATCATTCCGTTTCAGTTTAGAGGAATTTTTCATATTCGCAAGAGATCTAGCCAGCGGATTCACTTGGTTTTCAAGATTTGAAACATGTTTCTGACTTATTCTCTCGAACTCGACTTTAACCATCAGAACTGCCAAATCGAAATGTATGTTTTCATTTCTGATATACCAGGGTGCACCAGTTATCATTTTTAGAATTTTTGCTTGAGCTCTCTGCAGGAGCTCGTACTTGTCGGATCTTGTTATTGTGTAACAATTACTTCCGAAATCTTTGGTGCTGATTGGATCTTATTAAATTACTTTAATTTCTTTTTCAATTTCTTTAGTTTTATACAATTGAAGTGTTAAACAATATAACAACAATAAAACTCACTGATTTCGTAATAGGTACTTCTTACAATATTACTAATTGTGAAGATGATCAATCAGCAAACCTTTCATATTTTAAAGTTTCCGGTAGTTAATGAGACATATTTATGGATTTCAACAAACTATGAACTACCACTTTAGTTGAAAATCATGTTCTTGGTTGGTTGCAGTGGTAGGCCATTAGATAAGTTCCATATACCTCAATAAGCAATTTTTCGGCATTTTGCTGAAAATGTAATTATACATTACTTTTTAAGAATTTTAAGTTTTCATCCAATATAGGACAGTTATAACGTTTGCTTTGATGGAAGTACCTACGTTTTATGAAGTCAGTGAACGATAGTACGTTCTTATTTTGCCCCGGGCAAAGATATGGTGGCTTATTTCCAGAATAAGATCAATAGTTAAATTCAAAGATCTAGCTCAGGGGGTAAACTCTTATCAATCTGAAGCTTCTAAAAGCACAACTGGCTCTTAGTGGTTCTTTGACGACGAACGAAAGTATTGGTTATGCACAGAAGGTTGACGAGAACCTACCTAACATACTACCTAACATCTAAATAATATATTTTTATCTTTTTTTCTAGATAAACAGATTGAATTAAATTTTCACAACATATAAAATGCTGTTTGCTATTATAAATCAAATTAAAGCTAATTTTTTTATTTTGTATTGAAACTGTTGCTTGGTACCTTATCGTAGAAGAAAATCAAATAGACATAAAAGTTATAAAAACGCAGCTGCGTAAGAGTATCTCATCCCCAAACTATAAATGCCACACGCGCTTTTTTTTCATATAAATGTGTAAATTTGAAGGTTTTATTTCAAAAACCGTAAAAGAAACATAGATGCCTTTTAAAGACATGAAGTGAAGTGATCAACTCAAATATTGTACAGAGCGTAGCTGTGATAAGAAGTACTTTTTACGCCTTTAGATTCACACCATAAAATAGGGTTCAAACTCAAAGGATTCTTTCATAAATGTTTGTAAATGCGTTAAGCAAACATTTTAACATATTTTAATTAATTAAACAACAATATAATAGTGAACTGAATTTATCACAATTAATAGCGAAATTGTTAATTAAAGCATAGTATGGTAAATATTTATTTAAAATAAAAAATCAAAGAAACCGGGACTTATTGCGCTGCATTTATATCAAATTAGAAATAAAGTGATTACTTATTTTTTCGTATATATAAATCTTCTTAAAGGATCTGAATGAGAATTTTAGCAGAAACATGTAATACAAGTGTCCTTACATCAGTAACAGTTGCATATCCTTAGGGTTCTACTTATACATATGTTTCCAATTCAATTATTTGCTACATTCTTTGTAATTTTTTTTATATATTAAACATAATTGTTAATTTGTTTATGAATACAATTTAATTGAGCTACATAATTGACCCTTGTCAACTTATCCTAAGGCTTTTCATGTCTTTGAGTTTACCATCTATTGTAAGAAAATTCTTTCCATTTTTCATACATGTATAAAAAGCGCAACTCAAGCAAAAAAGGATACAGAACAAAGCGTGTTACTTGTTTTTAAATGTTTATCTGAAATCTACCCTCTTGAAAATGATCTGTTGATGTTTGGAAACAAGGATCCTGTTGCGCATTCATGTCAGATCTTGTCTTTTGGCGCACGATTTTAGGAAACTGCGTGCATAAATGCGTCTATGCCAATTACGACTTATAATCCAGTTATTTTATTCTAGTGATAATCATTTTCTTTGTTAGTAAATGCGAATTCAATTTATATAACGCAAATTATATTATTTTCTATAAAGAAATTCGCTTCAATGCATTATTGATACAAGGTAATTGTTTTAATATATCAGTATAAAGGTATGGGAATAAAATAAAAACTTTTGAAAGAATTTCGATATACATATATAAATATATTTTATTTGCATTTCTTCTTCTTCTTCATTCCATTGCGTTCCCAGGGGAACATTGGGCCATATTTGCATATTTGGATTTATTAATATTGCAATAGCATTCTTTTGGCATACTACTAGTTCTTTAAAAAATATGGATCAAAATGACGCCAAAACTGTAGATGAGATATTTCAATAACACGATATAAAAGAAATTTACAATAATTTTAACAAAAAATCAACTCCAGCATGTGGTAAAATCATAAAATGTGATTGTGATAAGCTTACATTTGGAAGTTTTAATTTGGAATCACCACAACAACTCAAAAACCTCTAGTAATAAACTCAAAAATTAGAGTCACAAACTCTAAGTCAGCTCTAAGTCAACCAGTTTTTAAAAGCAAAAAGTTATATTAAAAAAATTGGAATACTAATCCTAATAAGTTATCCAGCAATCCACGCTTCAGGAACTCCAAAAATATCAAAACATCAACCGAAGGAAGATATTTCCTTATATGTCAACTAGTTGTCTTTGCTATATGCTTGTAATAGTTTTATTTAGTAAGCCATATTCTTACTGAATCTTTAAAAAATTCGAAATATCAATCTAGACAAATGTTAAAAAATATGTGGTATATCTGACTTACAAGAGATATTTTTATTGACACCATTATCAAGTGTATAGGGAGTCTAAATTATTAGCAAAAAAGATAGTCTTCTTAATAGAAGAAGCAATAAAAGAATTCAAGCAACAGAGGAATCTGTACTGTAAGTATGACAGATAAGTCATACTATAAGTATGAACCAGAACATAAGGGTTTTACAATAAAACTGGTAGAGAATATCGGGTTCTCCCAGTAAAGAACAAATGGGTCGCATCCAGAGAGAGGAGTAAAGGTGTTTTCAACTCTATTACTCAAAACTTACAATTTATTAGTAGTATTCACGATCTCAAGTAATGAACTCGTTAATTGGGTAAAATAGTAATAATACGAAGCAAAATTACTTTATGTTCATTACTCGAGACCGTGTATGCCACTACTGATTTCAAATATTATAAGTTCATGCAATAATTTATTTATATAGTACAATAAATCAAGAAGATTTTATGCGTCTACCTTTTTTTATCATTGTTATAAATTATATTAAACATTAATTAATTGATATAATAGCACCTGCACGCGTTAGTATTCATTAATAACTTTATTTTTATTTTATATTTTTTGATATCAGAACAAACAAATTATACTGCAGAAAACCTTGAAGAATGTTTGCTGGCCATAAGTCGTCTATACACGTTCCATAGAGCAAAACATATAGTACAAATCAGAGATATAAACTTCATTAAAAATGTATATTTAAATTTTATTCAATTTTCGTACAGTATATGAAGCAGCAGTGGCCATAAACATGCCCAAACATTAAACATAAAAAAAAAATTTTTTTTAATTTTGCCAATTTTTTTATTGCCAATTTCAATGCTGAAATTTTTTTAGTTTAAAAAGAAAAACGAAAAAAATTTTAATTTTTTTAATGAAATAAAAGCTCATAAATGTCGCATAATTTATAGGTTGCGAAATCTGCGATACACACAAGTTGACAGTCTTCATTTTATGTTAATTATTTTTTTTTTAATTAAATTAATATTTTACTATATAAAATGATTATCAAAAAAAACTTTTTTTTTGTCATCTTAAATGCTAAACACGGCACGCATTAAAGTGTTTCCTGCCTAAGTCGGCAAGGCCATTCTCAAAGTGGGACTAAAGAAACCGACTCTGGAACGATTTGTTTTTATCCTATAATGTGTGTTATGTAAGTTAATTATATATAATATTAAATGCAAAAAAAAAAAATTTTAATTCAATGTTTGTTAATATTTATACGGGAAATAATTAACTTTCCCGCAGTATCTCAAAAATATCTACAATTTCAACGTCTGTCGGTAAAAGACTGCTGCGCAACTATTATCGCCTGATAAAACTGAAAATGACCTT